AACGAGTGAGATTGAGAAGCTGCGAGAAGGTTGTCGGTATTTGGGTTTGAGCGTCTCAGGGTCAAAGGTGAAGATGTTCAGGAGACTGTGCAACTACCTCACCGAAGACAGAGATGAGGACGCAGAAGAAGTTGCAGACAGGCTGAGGAAGCAAAGGCCCAAAGCAAGAACAAGACCCGGAGTGCCCGAACCGACAGAAGCAGAGATTGAAGAGCATATGGCAACCCACATGCCAATGCAACCATGGTGTGATTTCTGTGCAGCAGCAAAGTCGAAACAGGACCATACCCCACAAAGCAGTGAAGCAAAGTATGAAGACCCAGGAAAACCAGTGATCCAGATGGACTTCATGTACATGGGTCAGAACAGTGTGAGTCTTGATTCATGGACTCGATTTTCGTGGGCGATTCCAGTGCCGGGGAAAGCACCGACGAAGAAGTTGGCCGAGAAAGTGGTGAAGTTTTCTCTCGAGATGAACTACATTTCCGAAGAAGTTCTGTTTGCGATTGATGTGGAGCCAGCGACAACAGCCTTACTGGATTTGATTGTAGCAATACGACAAAAGTTAGGCTACAAGGCTGGAAAGTATCCAAACAAGCCCTACCACAAAGGAAGAACAGCGAGAGTGGAACGCCACATTCAGAACCTCAGGAGACAAAGCCTCACGATGATTGAAATGGTCGAGGATCGGATTGGGGAAAAGATTCCTGAAGATCATGCTTTACGAGCGTGGGCAATTCACCACGCAACATGGTTGTTCAACAGGTACCACCTACACTCAGGGACGCAGAGTACAGCTTTCCAATTGGTCTACGGGAGACCATACCAAGGGCAGATTTTACCCTTCGGAGAGTATGTGTTTGGTCTGGCCAAGCCTGGAGGAGTGAAGAATCGATCCTTGTGGACAGGAGGAATATGGGTTGGAAAGGACGACCGGGACATGGACGTGATTACATCAAAAGATGGGATCTTTACGTCAAGATCTGTGCGGCGCACACAACCAGCGTGGCGCGCACGTGAGACCCTTCAACTTCAGGGTTCTCCTTGGACGAAGAAAGCCCCAAGGCTAGGGCACACCGCGCATGCGGCACCGTTACCGAGAATCATGGAAGAACCAGGCAAAGAGAAAGAAGGAGGAGAAAATGAGCCAGAGCCAGCAGGAGATGAAGCAGGATCTGATGTGGAAAGTTCAAAGCATGACACAATCAGTGATCTATTGCTGAGCAGTGGTCAACCTACACCTCGGAGTTCATCAACGGATTCCAACCAAGGCGGGGGACAAAAGAGAGAAACTGAAGGAGAAGGAAGAGAGGAACCTGCGAAAGCTAGTAAAACAGCAGATGCTGAGGAGCACCAACGAAGCAACAAAAGACTGCGGAAAGTTCACCTACAAGTGCTGATCCTGGAAGTCCGAAAGGAAGTCTATTTCCACCGTTGTACGCCGGACAGGTAGAAGAACAGGAAGACGAAACAGGATATCATGAAGATGACCTTTGGGAAGAAAGAGTCTGGAAGGAATGCGAAGAGGAATATGAAGCGGATAGTGAAGGAGAAGAAGAAGATGAGGATCGACCACCGAAAGTCAGCGAAGAGGAACTTGAAAGATTGGATGCAGAGGCAGGAAAAGCTGAACTTGACAAACTCGCCAACATGAAGGTTGTGAAGACGATCAAGAAGGAAGAGTGTTCAGAGGAAGGTAAGTTTCTGACACTAAGGACAGTTTTCGATTGGAGAAAGAGAGATGGAGTTTGGAAGCGTAGATGCAGAATTGTGTGTCGGGAATTCCGTGCGGGAGCCCAGAGCACGGAGGAGACTTTTAGTCCTACGTCAGGACACGCAGCAGTGCGAATGATGTTTCTTTTTCATCTCATCTACAATTGGGAGCTTACAGTTCTTGACATTCGTGACGCATTCTTGCAAGTCAAGCAGAAAGCTCTGATGTATGCTGATATCTCACCGTGGATTCGAACACTACTTGGTTTGGATGAAGACCATGTATGGAAAGTGGAGAAGTGTCTGCCAGGGCAAAGATCAGCGGCAGAACAATGGTTTACCCATTTGGTTGAGATTTTGAAGCGTTTGGGATTTGAGCAATTTGTTGGGATACCCTCAATCTTGAAGCACCGAGTGAAGAAGATTGCAGTGTCGATTCATGTCGACGACGAGCTAGTTGCAGGTGCGAAAGGCGAAGGAAGATGGCTGATATGCGAGCTAGAGAAGTTTTTCAAGCTCACAGTTGAGGGACCGTTCCCATCCCACCGGGGATCGGGAGAACAGCTTCATTACCTGAAGAGGACCTATGAGTTCCTTGAAGAAGGAATTTTGGTGACAGTGTCGAAGAAGCACTACGAGAAGCTTAGAGGACTCTACAAGCTGGGGAACCGAAAGCCAAGACAAACCCCAGAGCACCAGCTGATTGGAACAGTGGACAATTCCAAAGAACTGGAGGAGAACGAGTGCAAGAAGTTTCGTTCAGCGTTGGGAACACTGTTGTACATTTCTCAAGACCGATGGGATTTACAGCATGTGACGAAGTGTTTGGCAAGTAAGATGTCGAAGCCAACGGAACAAGCGTTAACCTGTTTGAAACAAGCTTTGCTCTATGTGCAAGGAACAGAGCAACTGGGATTCCTACTGAAGTACACAAAGGTTGGAAACAAGATGATGGATGCGATCTATCAAAGAGAAGAGCAAGAAGAAGAAGACGAAGAAAAGAAAGGAACACACAGTATGGAAGTATTCACGGATGCAGATTGGGCATCAGACCGTGAAGCGAGATGGTCTACATCATCAGTGATTGTGTGTGTGAATGCAGTGCCAGTACTTTCGTATAGCAGGACCCAGAAAGCTACAGCTTTAAGTTCGGCAGAGTCCGAAGTGCTAGCATGCTCAGGAGGAGCATCAGAAGCGATGTTACTGAAGAAGTTGTGGATGTTTCTTGCAGGAAAGTTACTCGTGGAGATCCGGATGGATTCAAGTGCGGGAAGACAATGGATGATGCGAACAGGAGTCGGAGGACTCAAACATATCGATCTGAGAGTATTATGGCTTCAGCGAGGGGTGAAGAACAACAGCTTCAAAGCAAAGCCAGTGCCTACCAAACTAAACATTGCTGACTTGAATACAAAACGCTTAGGAGTATCTCGAAGGAGATTTCTCATGTACCATATTGGAGCCATGGTGTGGAATGGAGAAAGTCATGAGCGTTATGGGAAAGAAGAAGCAATGGAACATGTGGCAGGTGAAGTTTGCCGAAGCCAAGTTCGAGCACTACGTGCAACTTTGTTGAGTGAGCGAGGAAGCAAGACGGCTAGATCGATGTACTTGACAATGATGGTGAATATGATTTCTCAGATTGCAGGACAGCCAGACGATTTTGGAGGACGAGAACGAGAAGAACGAGAATTTGTTTTCATCTATGTGAAGGAAGTGAGTGGATGGATTATTCTTTTCAGTGTGCTACTAGGAGGAATTTTCGCTTTACTCTTGTTCTACATGGTCGAGCAGAAGGTGAAAGAAGGACCGCAGGAACCACAGGAAGAAGGACCACAGGAACCACAGGAAGAAGGACGACAGGAACCACAGGAAGAAGGACCACAGGAACCGCAGGAAGAAGGACCACAGGAACCACAGGAAGAAGGACCACAGGAACCGCAGGAAGAAGTACCACAGGAACCGCAGGAAGAAGGACCACAGGAACCGCAGGAGGAATTCACTATTCGAAGATTTGTGCAAAAGTATTGTCCGCCCGATGAGGATGATGTTCAACGTACAGCAAGGGCAGTCAATATGTATTTCCGTGATGCACCAGAGGATTCATCGACAGGCAGTGGTAATGGGATGCCTGGAATCAGTACAGTACCAGCAAGCCAAATCCATGTGAATGACGAAGAGCTTGCAAGGCGATTTCAAGAATGGGGAATGGTTAATATCATTCCTATGGCACAGGATGTGGACGAACAGCTACGAGCACAACCCCAGTATGTGTACACGCCTCATGGCAAGAGGTACCACCGACCTACATGTGCAGATGTGCAAAGGTCAGAGAGATTCACTTACAGTGCAGCAGTGCATGCGAGATTGCACTACCGTCCTTGTGGCAATTGCAGGCCCGGGACCATGTGAGTGAATGATGGAATGTTTCACTTTTCCGTACAGTGTGAGCTACAACGAGTACAAGCTTACCTGAGCGAAGTGTTACCCACGAGGAAGCAGTGGGAACAGTTTTCACCGAGTGCAAGGACTCCAATAGGGAGAGCACAACGAGGCCATCGCACAATACCAGATGAGCCCAACGACATACCTGTACAGTTTCTACAAACCCGTTACTGTAGAGTGATGTTGAGCTTACAGTTCGCACAACATCAAGGCGGGGTGTAAAGTTTTTCTACTACCTGGGAACCCCACCTACCAACCCAAAGGGTTGATGAGCATGTGTGGATTTGTGACTCATGTTTTACCGACAGCGCCTTTACCGGTTCAAGGAAAAAGAGCGACTTGAAGTTTAGCAGTAATGCCGATTGCGCGACAGCGGCACCAGGACTGCGCCAGCAGTCGCCAAGAACGAACAAAAAACAAACCACAATTGCAAATTCAACATTAAAATTTGGGCTCAATCTGGCCTCAAAAGGGGTGTGTGTGCAAGTGCCAAGGGAGGGTGTGTGTCATGCCGATTTTGGGACGGATTGCAGGGGTGATTTGCGGTTCCGCGACGGCGGTGCCAGGATTGCGCCAGCAGATGCCAAGAACGAACAACAGCAGACAAACAAACGCAAATCAACATTAAAGTCTGGCTGTCTCCCCCCGCCCCGAGAGGGGGCGCGCAAACGAGCCCCCCTCGGCGGAGGGGATTTCGGGGAGGAACAGTTGCTCACACGCCTTCTGATCCCCGAGCGGGTCGGCGGACTTACCGTGTGGAGATGCTGATTTAGGTATTTGTCTTGGCGTGGCGCTTCGATTCTTGTTTGATCGTTCTTGCGAAGTGTGTCGCCCGAATCCGAATGCTACGACTCCACCACTACTTTGCCGTAGCCTTTTTCAGTTCAATTCTGTGCCCCAAGCCTCTGACCTCGTGCCTTCCCTGGTGCCTTTTTCAGCTACTAATGCTAACGTTGGCGGGCAGCAGGAGTCTTGTGGCCATCGCTGCATTGCTTCAAGTCTTTGGGGCGAGTGCAGTCACGGTCACGGATGTGCAGTGGAAGGCAGGACTGATTGCTGCAGGGCGGCAAAGTTGGCTCATTGCGAAGGTGCAATTTGAGTTCTTGATGATTGCCAAGGGTGTGAATGTGTCGAAAAGCATGGCAAACATGGAGGAAAGTATCAGTCTCTTTGACTCTGGGCACATCGTGCTCAGGGATGGAAATGGGCTCGACATTGTCGAAGCACCCTCTCAGATCATCGTCAATGCTCTGGGCAATGTGCAGGCTAAGTGGTCACCGTTTAAGAATTTTCTCCAGGACAATGTCGCAAGCACTTCACCTGCAGTTTTGAGCACACTCGACGACATGGGCAGCGAGTTGTACGGGTTGACACAGATTTGCGCGTCCCGGTACGTCGATGCCATCAGTGAAGCGGGGGCGAGTTTTTCGGGCCTACAAGTCAATATTGCGAACAGGCAAAGTATGCTCGTGGAAAAGATGGCAGCGGAAGCATTTCTACTACACCTTGGCGTCCGTCCGGACACCATGTTGAACCGGATTGTGGAGACGAGGACGTTGTTTGTTGATGCTCATGCTGGTCTCTTGGAAGGCCTTAACTTTGTCGGCTTGGAAGCCACCGTCAACAAATGCATCTCGAAAAAGATGCGCCTTGTCACCTTTTTCTGGGACGAGTTCAAGGAGGCCATTGACACTGTCATCTTCGAAGAGTTGGCGAGCGGCAAGAGTCTGAATGACATCGTCGCCAAAATTGCAGGCCTAAGAGCCGAAGCAGCAGCTGCGACTCTGGCCTATGCCGATCCGCCGCTCAGTTGCCCCACCACTATGACACGTCGTCAGTGGCAGATGGCGTTTGATGTCTCCACCCGACAGCTCATGCATGCACAGAAAGCATGCAGGCTTTTCCTTCAGGCTGCCAAGGGAGTGAACACCCTCGACAGCCGCATCTTCTTCTCGAACTCAGATGTGAGCGCGACGGCAGACCTCAAAATGATGAGAGAGGGCTCCGTGGCAGCAGACATGGCTGCAGCTCCCACACAGCTGGTGTCCGAGCAGTATGGCGTAATGTGGCTCAGGTGGCTGAGTCTCGGAAACTTCATGGCACAAAACATTAACTTTGTGAGTGATGAAGACCACAGGCTCTTGCAAATCGTCGAGAATAAGGGCAAGCAGTTTGTCAACTACGGCTTGGAAGCGTTGGAGAACATTTTCACTGAGTGCAAACTGAAGGCCCCTGAGGTGAATTGCGAAGAGCTAAAAGTCACAGGGGTTCAGCGGATTCTCATTCAGAAAGCAGCATTTGAGGCAGTTCTGATTGGCCTTGCACGGAATGTCACGGAAAACAAGAAGGAGATGATCCAGACAATTGCAAGGTTCGAAGGGTCCCAAAGTGGCTTGATTCATCAACAGCCGGGCCTACCCAGGACACTTGACATCTGCATCTTGCAGGAGATGAAACACGTTGACGACTTGTGGACGCCGTTCAAGAGCCTCTTACTGCAGGTTCATGATGGTGACCACAGCGTCGCCACCTTGTTGACGATTTGGGGAATGACGTGGGACGCAGGAGTCGACCCCATGTCTGCTCAGCTTACCGTGGCCATGCGGGCATATGCGGACGGTCGAGGTGTGTGCACCCCGCCTCTGACGGCCTCCCGCCAGGAGTTGGAGTCTGCAATCAAGGAATTGGGGTTTCTCCGTGCGGGGACACAGAAATGGGCCAAGCACGTCCTCTTGTCTGACATCGGCATCGACAGGGCAGAGAACATGAACATCTCGCATGCAACGTTGAAGGATCTTTCGACGCAGCTTGAGCGTGTCATATCAGGAGACACCTCCGCAACTCTCCCTGTGCCGATAATGCAAGTTGTTGTGGATCGCCTCGTCGACCTTGCCGAAGATTTGGCTGATGTTCAAAGCTTGACGGTGGATCAATATGCTGATGCCAGCCTCAATTTGCTACAGAAGTCAGAGCTAGCAATAACTGCTTACATAGACGCAGCTTTTGACATGAACCGAAATGTTCCAGGCGCCCGATCTAGCTTAGCAAGCAGCCTGCTGATGCTCCTCGAGAAGATGTGTAAAGAGGCAGTCTTGGTCGGCCTTGGCAAAGAAGGGTCCGCGGCAGAGCTCGCTTCAAGCATCAATCGCTATGAGACTTCTCAGCAGACCCTCAAGGCTGGGAATTCCGCGGAAGAATATGCAGCTGCTGTTGCCCAGATGAAAATCGTTGAATCTGCTTGGGTTGAGTTGCAACCCAAGGTACAGGCGATTGCATTAAGTGGAGCAGCCAGCGACATCGCATTGAGCGAGATCACATCCAAGGCAGACGCCGTGAAAGCAGCGTTGCTTCCCGCCATTGACTTCTACTCGGTGATGACTGTGAAGAAGACCAAGGCCCCCATTGACATCCTTGTGCCTCTACCGGGCCCAACCATGAAAACAGCGATCGGACGGGACATCATAAATCAGCAACAACTGGTTTTGCCCGGCTCGGAGAGAATTCCAGTTGGCACCGTCTACGAAAGCGGCACCATCGAGACAGGTTGGAGTGAAGGCTTGCGGAACGAAACCTGGCTTCCAGCATTTCCGGAGCCGGAACCGTTCCCAATCGTGTACGTTGTAGTATCTCTCGCAGCGGTATGGATGATTTGTTGTCCCCTTCTTTTCGGATGCCTTGCGGGTCACAATGGAAGCTTGTCCGCTCTGTTTGCGTGGATGCCAAAGGGCTCGCGAAGAAAAGAAGCAAAAGAAGGGGCGTGTGAGACATTGTGAGACAGAGAAGAGTCTTAGCATCCCGAAAGTGCAGAGACTGTTTTCATCATGATGGCGAATGGAGATGGAAATGGTATGAGAGGCTGTGGAGACCCTACAGTTCAAATTCGAGACGGGCTGTGAACAGCCTGTGGCGAGTCAATGGTGGCTCGTACAACGATGATGGGCCATGATTTGCTTGCAGCGATGCTTTCTAAAAACCCAGAGCTCAAAACCTACAATTCAAGGTGTTGGCGAAGCCAAAAGCTCAATACCTACATGTCGTCAAGTTGTTGGCGAAGCCTTTTGCGATGCACAAAGCTTTACGTGCATCAAGGCTGTGTGAACAAGATGTGAGTTTCACCCCCCCACCCCCCCCCACCCCACAAGCAATGACGCCGGTTCAGGTGCCGTGGGAACACTAATCAAAGCCAATAGAAAACAGGAAAGTTATTGTAAGCGCGTGTATTCATTAAAAAGAACGCCAGAACGGGACACGCACAAATGGGAGCTCTTACGATGCACAAGGCTTTACGTGCATCAAGCTCCAGTCAGGAGCACATGTATATACGTTTCCTGAATTTCTTGCACGTTTTTTCAGTCTCCGCTCTAACGTAGGGAGAGGCTTGAAGGTGAGTGCATGGCTCTGGCCATTTGCCTCAAGGCGGGGTGACGTGGTGACAATCCCGCTACCGCCCAAGTGTTTTGTACAGAGTCAGACGTTTAGAACCGAGCGTCGACTTGCAGGCGCCATTTGTAGTGCCAAGGAGGGCTTTCGAAAAGTTTGCTCCAGTTCGCGTTCATTTTGCTTATGGGTTCTTCCCGCTTTCTACATCGGAGGGAAGAGAGGGTGCTTCGGTCGTTTTTTACTACGACAAGTGAAGGGCGGCAAGTCCCCCATTTTCTGTGAGGACTATACTGCCTCTGCTAGCCGTCTTTGTTCCCAAGAAGATGCTCACAGCGCTCCTTTCTATGGCACCGCTGGCAAGGCATGTGGCGCAGGAAGGTAGCTTAATGTAGCTTATTTACCTTCTCTTCTTTCGCTTGAAGAGGGTGTGGACGTTTGGGCTGTGCTTTGGGCTGTGCTTTGTGCTGTGCTTTGCGTGATCATGTCGAGCATAAAGGCATTAGCTTTCTGAAGGAGAATGCGGTGGGGTTTCTTCGTAGCCTTGCTGAGATTTCTTTCGTGGCTGTTTCAAAAATGTAAAATAATTTAATCTTGTATCCCCTTCATGCAAGCATTCTTTTCGCAAATGGGGGAAGCTGCGAGCCTTTCCAAACAACAACGTGCGAAGCATTGTGTTTGCAAATGGGGGGGGGGGGGGGGGCGGGCTGCCCTAGTCTTTTCAGCCGTGCAAACGTGCTTCCCTCTTGTCTTCTTTTCTATCTTGTCTTCTCTTGTCTCTTGTCTTCTTTTGTCTCTTGTCTTCTCTTGTCTCTTGTCTTCTTTTGTCTCTTGTCTTCTCTTGTCTCTTGTCTTCTCTTGTCTCTTGTCTTCTCTTGTCTTGTCTTGTCTTGTTTTGTTTTGAATGGGTTTTTTTCGAGGGAGTACCGCATGCCAATGAGCATCCCTGCTGCGGCATTCAAGCTTGCGCAAGTTTGCGGTGCAGCTGGAGAGACCTCTAAATGGATTCCGCAGGACAGACGTATGAAGGTGTTGTGGAAAGTTGTCTGGGTGAACGTGCTGACAAGAGGGACAATTGGGCTCTGAGCATGAATGCAATTCGGAGGAGATGCTGATTTAGGTCTTTGTCTTGGCTTAGCGCTTCGATTCTTGTTTGATCGTTCTTGCGAGGTGTGTCGCCCGAATCCGAATCGCAGTTGAACTTAAACTTGAACTCACTCCACCACTACTTTGTCGTAGCCTTTTTCAGTTCATTTCTGTGCCCCTCGTGCCTTCCCTGGTGCCTTTTTCAGCTCCTAATGTTAGCGTTGGCGGGCAGCAGGAGTCTTGTGGCCATCGCTGCATTGCTTCAAGTTCTTGGGGCGAGTGCAGCCACGGTCACGGATGTGCAGTGGAAGGCAGGAGTGATTGCTGCAGGGCGTCAAAGTTGGCTGATTGCGAAGGTGCAATTTGAGTTCTTGATGATTGCCAAGGGTGTGAATGTGTCGAAAAGCATGGCAAACATGGAGGAAAGCATCAGTCTCTTTGACTCTGGGCACATCGTGCTCAGGGATGGAAATGGGCTCGACATTGTCGAAGCACCCTCTCAGATCATCGTCACTGCTCTGGGCAATGTGCAGGCTAAGTGGTCACCGTTCAAGAATTTTCTCAAGGACAATGTCGCAAGCACTTCGCCTGCAGTTTTAAGCACACTCGACGACATGGGCAGCGAGTTGTACGGGTTGACACAGATTTGCGCGTCCCGGTACGTCGATGCAATCAGTGGAGCGGGGGCGAATTTTTCGGGCCTACAAGTCAATACTGCGAACAGGCAAAGTATGCTCGTGGAAAAGATGGCAGCGGAAGCATTTCTACTACACTTTGGCGTCCGTCCGGACACCATGTTGAACCGGATTGTGGAGACGAGGACGTTGTTTGTTGATGCTCATGCTGGTCTCTTGGAAGGCCTTAACTTTGTCGGCTTGGAAGCCACCGTCAACAAATGCATCTCGAAAAAGATGCGCCTTGTCACCTTTTTCTGGGACGAGTTCAAGGAGGCCATTGACACTGTCATCTTCGAAGAGTTGGCGAGCGACAAGAGTCTGAATGACATCGTTGCCAAAATTGCAGGCCTAAGAACGGAAGCAGCAGCTGCGACTCTGGCCTATGCCGATCCACCGCCCAGTTGCCCCACCACTATGACACGTCGTCAGTGGCAGATGGCGTTTGATGTCTCCACCCGACAGCTCATGCATGCACAGAAAGCATGCAGGCTTTTCCTTCAGGCTGCCAAGGGAGTGAACACCCTCGACAGCCGCATCCTCTTCTCGAACTCAGACGTGAGCGCGACGGCAGACCTCAAAATGATGAGAGAGGGCTCCGTGGCAGCAGACATGGCTGCAGCTCCCACACAGCTGGTGTCCGAGCAGTATGGCGTAATGTGGCTCAGGTGGCTGAGTCTCGGAAACTTCATGGCACAAAACATTAACTTTGTGAGTGATGAGGACCACAGGCTCTTGCAAATCGTCGAGGATCAGGGCAAGCAGTTGTCAACTACGGCTTTGAAGCGTTGGAGAACATTTTCATTGAGTGCAAACTGAAGGCCCCTGAGGTGAATTGCGAAGAGCTAAAAGTCACAGGGGTTCAGCGCATTCTCATCCAGAAAGCAGCATTTGAGGCAGTTCTGATTGGCCTTGCACGGAATGTCACGGAAAACAAGAAGGAGATGATCCAGACAATTGCAAGGTTCGAAGGGTCTCAAAGTGGCTTGATTCATCAACAGCCGGGCCTACCCAGGACACTTGACATCTGCATCTTGCAGGAGATGAAACACGTTGACGACTTGTGGACGCCGTTCAAGAGCCTCTTACTGCAGGTTCATGATGGTGACCACAGCGTCGCCACCTTGTTGACGATTTGGGGAATGACGTGGGATGCAGGAGTCGACCCCATGTCTGCTCAGCTTACCGTGGCCATGCGGGCATATGCGGACGGTCGAGGTGTGTGCACCCCGCCTCTGACGGCCTCCCGCCAGGAGTTGGAGTCTGCAATCAAGGAATTGGGGTTTCTCCGTGCGGGGACACAGAAATGGGCCAAGCACATCTTCTTGTCTGACATCGGCATCGACAGTGCAGAGAACATGAACATGTCGCATGCAACGTTGAAGGATCTTTCGACACAGCTTGAACGGGTCATATCAGGGGACACTTCCGCAACTCTCCCTGTGCCGATAGTGCAAGTTGTTGTGGATCGCCTCGTCGACCTTGCCGAAGATTTGGCTGATGTTCAAAGCTTGACGGTGGATCAATATGCTGATGCCAGCCTCAATTTGCTACAGAAGTCAGAGCTAGCAATAACTGCTTACATAGACGCAGCTTTTCACATGGACCGAAATGTTCCAGGCGCCCGATCTAGCTTAGCAAGCAGCCTGCTGATGCTCCTCGAGAAGATGTGTAAAGAGGCAGTCTTGGTCGGCCTTGGCAAAGGGTCCGCGGCAGAGCTCGCTTCAAGCATCAATCGCTATGAGACTTCTCAGCAGACCCTCAAGGCTGGGAATTCCGCGGAAGAATATGCAGCTGCTGTTGCCCAGATGGAAATCGTTGAATCTGCTTGGGTTGAGTTGCAACCCAAGGTACAGGCGATTGCATTAAGTGGAGCAGCCAGCGACATCGCGTTGAGCGAGATCACATCCAAGGCAGACGCCGTGAAAGCAGCGTTGCTTCCCGCCATTGACTTCTACTCGGTGATGACTGTGAAGAAGATTAAGGCCCCCATTGACATCCTTGTGCCTCTACCGATGACCGGCAGATGGTCCCCAGGCCCAACCATGAAAACAGCGGCGATGATCGGACGGGACATCATAAATCAGCAACAATTGGTTTTGCCCGGCTTCGAGATAAAGCTCAAGTTCTTGGATGACCAGTGTGACTATGAGCACGCGATGCGTGCGGTGTTGGAAGAGTTTGCCAGCACAGACTCTTGGGTCGGGTTGGCTGGCATGGGTTGCTCGAGTGTCTGCGAATCGTTGGCAGTAGTCTCGTCTTCCATGTGGATCCCAACCGTGGGCATGGATTGCTCTGGCAAGTCCCTCTCTGATACCAGCCTCTTCCCGGACTTCGTTCGCCTTGGGGTCAAGACGACCTCGGCCAAGAATGTCATCATTGAGTGGGCAGAGATGTTCGCTTGGGAGCACATTGCAATTGTCTCCGGGGACCCCGCAATCTATCGAAACGAGGCCACAGAGTACCAGGAAGCCTTCGGCGACGCCGGCGTTGGCAACTCTTACGCTTCGTTGATTGAGACAGATTGGCAAGGTATGTTGTCGACTATGGCCGCATTGAAGGATGGCAAGCGCCGCGTCGTTATGGTGTTCGGCAATGAGACCCTCTTCCGGATGGTGGTGTGTGCATCAGCAGAGGTCGGATCGAGGGAGGGAATGGTCTGGATCTCTGTGGGGATACGATCGCGGTCTTGGTGGACTGTGAATGACGGTGCAGTCTTGCAACATTCAGCATCTTGCACAGGTAGCAAGGTAAGTTCCCTCTTGCAGGGCGCACTCTTCATCACAGGTCTCGGCAAGTCGGCAAGTCAGGCCGAGCAACCTTTGGACTGTTATGATGGGTATACTTCTGACAGTTTGCTTGACCTGATTAACAAGTCAATTGCGCAGGGCTACGAGGATGTCACGGGAAATTCTACGAATTCTACAGATGCTACAGGTGCCATTGAAAATCCCCACGTCGAGCTCATGGGAGCCGGTGCGGACGCGATCTGTGTACAAGCCAAGGCAATACAGCACATGCTCCTCGAACATGACATCTCAAAATTACGCTCCCCGCAACATGCCGTGTACAAGAAGGCCGTGAGCTTCATCAGGGAGGAGCTTGAGATCGAGGGTGTCTCGGGGCCGGTGAAGTTCTCGGGCAATGACAAACCCGGTCGGCTTGGTTTGTGGCAACTCAGTGGTTCGGAGAGAATTCCAGTTGGCACCGTCTACGAAAACGGCACCATCGAGACAGGTTGGAGTGAAGGCCTGCGGAACGAAACCTGGCTTCCAGCATTTCCGGAGCCGGAACCGTTCCCAATCGTGTACGTTGTAGTATCTCTCGCAGCGGTATGGATGATTTGTTGTCCCCTTCTTTTCGGATGCCTTGCGGGTCACTATGGAAGCCTGTCCGCTCTGTTTGCGTGGATGCCAAAGGGCTCGCGAAGAAAAGAAGCAAAAGAAGCTGTGGGCGTGTGAGACAGAGAAGAGTCTTGGCATCCCGAAAGTGCAGAGACTGTGTTCATCATGATGGCGAATGGAGATGGAAATGGTATGAGAGGCTGTGGAGACCCTACAGTTCAAATTCGAGACGGGCTGTGAACAGCCTGTGGCGAGTCAATGGTGGCTCGTACAACGATGATGGGCCATGATTTGCTTGCAGCGATGCTTTCTAAAAACCCAGAGCTCAAAACCTACAATTCAAGGTGTTGGCGAAGCCAAAAGCTCAATACCTACATGTCGTCAAGTTGTTGGCGAAGCCTTTTGCGATGCACAAAGCTTTACGTGCATCAAGGCTGTGTGAACAAGATGTGAGTTCCATAATGGGAGCGCTTACGATGCACAAGGCCTGCCGTGCATCAAGCTCCAGTGAGTGGCAAATGGAAGTTCGCTCCCTCACATTGTGCAGTGTATGTTTTTTAAGTCTCCGCCAGCGAAGCCTTTGCGATGCACAAAGCTTTACGTGCATCAAGGCTGTGTGAACAAGATGTGAGTTTCACCCCCCCACCCCCCCCCACCCCACAAGCAATGACGCCGGTTCAGGTGCCGTGGGAACACTAATCAAAGCCAATAGAAAACAGGAAAGTTATTGTAAGCGCGTGTATTCATTAAAAAGAACGCCAGAACGGGACACGCACAAATGGGAGCTCTTACGATGCACAAGGCTTTACGTGCATCAAGCTCCAGTCAGGAGCACATGTAAATACGTTTCCTGAATTTCTTGCACGTTTTTTCAGTCTCCGCTCTAACGTAGGGAGAGGCTTGAAGGTGAGTGCATGGCTCTGGCCATTTGCCTCAAGGCGGGGTGACGTGGTGACAATCCCGCTACCGCCCAAGTGTTTTGTACAGAGTCAGACGTTTAGAACCGAGCGTCGACTTGCAGGCGCCATTTGTAGTGCCAAGGAGGGCTTTCGAAAAGTTTGCTCCAGTTCGCGTTCATTTTGCTTATGGGTTCTTCCCGCTTTCTACATCGGAGGGAAGAGAGGGTGCTTCGGTCGTTTTTTACTACGACAAGTGAAGGGCGGCAAGTCCCCCATTTTCTGTGAGGACTATACTGCCTCTGCTAGCCGTCTTTGTTCCCAAGAAGCTGCTCACAGCGCTCCTTTCTATGGCACCGCTGGCAAGGCATGTGGCGCAGGAAGGTAGCTTAATGTAGCTTATTTACCTTCTCTTCTTTCGCTTGAAGAGGGTGTGGACGTTTGGGCTGTGCTTTGGGCTGTGCTTTGTGCTGTGCTTTGCGTGATCATGTCGAGCATAAAGGCATTAGCTTTCTGAAGGAGAATGCGGTGGGGTTTCTTCGTAGCCTTGCTGAGATTTCTTTCGTGGCTGTTTCAAAAATGTAAAATAATTTAATCTTGTATCCCCTTCATGCAAGCATTCTTTTCGCAAATGGGGGAAGCTGCGAGCCTTTCCAAACAACAACGTGCGAAGCATTGTGTTTGCAAATGGGGGGGGGGGGGGCGGCGGGCTGCCCTAGTCTTTTCAGCCGTGCAAACGTGCTTCCCTCTTGTCTTCTTTTCTATCTTGTCTTCTCTTGTCTCTTGTCTTCTTTTGTCTCTTGTTTTCTCTTGTCTCTTGTCTTCTTTTGTCTCTTGTCTTCTCTTGTCTCTTGTCTTCTCTTGTCTCTTGTCTTCTCTTGTCTTGTCTTGTCTTGTTTTGTTTTGAATGGGTTTTTTTCGAGGGAGTACCGCATGCCAATGAGCATCCCTGCTGCGGCATTCAAGCTTGCGCAAGTTTGCGGTGCAGTTGGAGAGACCTCTAAATGGATTCCGCAGGACAGACGTATGAAGGTGTTGTGGAAAGTTGTCTGGGTGAACGTGCTGACAAGAGGGACAATTGGGCTCTGAGCATGAATGCAATTCGGAGGAGATGCTGATTTAGGTCTTTGTCTTGGCTTAGCGCTTCGATTCTTGTTTGATCGTTCTTGCGAGGTGTGTCGCCCGAATCCGAATCGCAGTTGAACTTAAACTTAAACTCACTCCACCACTACTTTGTCGTAGCCTTTTTCAGTTCATTTCTGTGCCCCTCGTGCCTTCCCTGGTGCCTTTTTCAGCTCCTAATGTTAGCGTTGGCGGGCAGCAGGAGTCTTGTGGCCATCGCTGCATTGCTTCAAGTTCTTGGGGCAAGTGCAGTCACGGTCACGGATGTGCAGTGGAAGGCAGGAGTGATTGCTGCAGGGCGTCAAAGTTGGCTGATTGCGAAGGTGCAATTTGAGTTCTTGATGATTGCCAAGGGTGTGAATGTGTCGAAAAGCATGGCAAACATGGAGGAAAGCATCAGTCTCTTTGACTCTGGGCACATCGTGCTCAGGGATGGAAATGGGCTCGACATTGTCGAAGCACCCTCTCAGATCATCGTCACTGCTCTGGGCAATGTGCAGGCTAAGTGGTCACCGTTCAAGAATTTTCTCAAGGACAATGTCGCAAGCACTTCGCCTGCAGTTTTAAGCACACTCGACGACATGGGCAGCGAGTTGTACGGGTTGACACAGATTTGCGCGTCCCGGTACGTCGATGCAATCAGTGGAGCGGGGGCGAATTTTTCGGGCCTACAAGTCAATACTGCGAACAGGCAAAGTATGCTCGTGGAAAAGATGGCAGCGGAAGCATTTCTACTACACTTTGGCGTCCGTCCGGACACCATGTTGAACCGGATTGTGGAGACGAGGACGTTGTTTGTTGATGCTCATGCTGGTCTCTTGGAAGGCCTTAACTTTGTCGGCTTGGAAGCCACCGTCAACAAATGCATCTCGAAAAAGATGCGCCTTGTCACCTTTTTCTGGGACGAGTTCAAGGAGGCCATTGACACTGTCATCTTCGAAGAGTTGGCGAGCGACAAGAGTCTGAATGACATCGTTGCCAAAATTGCAGGCCTAAGAACGGAAGCAGCAGCTGCGACTCTGGCCTATGCCGATCCACCGCCCAGTTGCCCCACCACTATGACACGTCGTCAGTGGCAGATGGCGTTTGATGTCTCCACCCGACAGCTCATGCATGCACAGAAAGCATGCAGGCTTTTCCTTCAGGCTGCCAAGGGAGTGAACACCCTCGACAGCCGCATCCTCTTCTCGAACTCAGACGTGAGCGCGACGGCAGACCTCAAAATGATGAGAGAGGGCTCCGTGGCAGCAGACATGGCTGCAGCTCCCACACAGCTGGTGTCCGAGCAGTATGGCGTAATGTGGCTCAGGTGGCTGAGTCTCGGAAACTTCATGGCACAAAACATTAACTTTGTGAGTGATGAGGACCACAGGCTCTTGCAAATCGTCGAGGATCAGGGCAAGCAGTTTGTCAACTACGGCTTTGAAGCGTTGGAGAACATTTTCATTGAGTGCAAACTGAAGGCCCCTGAGGTGAATTGCGAAGAGCTAAAAGTCACAGGGGTTCAGCGCATTCTCATCCAGAAAGCAGCATTTGAGGCAGTTCTGATTGGCCTTGCACGGAATGTCACGGAAAACAAGAAGGAGATGATCCAGACAATTGCAAGGTTCGAAGGGTCTCAAAGTGGCTTGATTCATCAACAGCCGGGCCTACCCAGGACACTTGACATCTGCATCTTGCAGGAGATGAAACACGTTGACGACTTGTGGACGCCGTTCAAGAGCCTCTTACTGCAGGTTCATGATGGTGACCACAGCGTCGCCACCTTGTTGACGATTTGGGGAATGACGTGGGATGCAGGAGTCGACCCCATGTCTGCTCAGCTTACCGTGGCCATGCGGGCATATGCGGACGGTCGAGGTGTGTGCACCCCGCCTCTGACGGCCTCCCGCCAGGAGTTGGAGTCTGCAATCAAGGAATTGGGGTTTCTCCGTGCGGGGACACAGAAATGGGCCAAGCACATCTTCTTGTCTGACATCGGCATCGACAGTGCAGAGAACATGAACATGTCGCATGCAACGTTGAAGGATCTTTCGACACAGCTTGAACGGGTCATATCAGGGGACACTTCCGCAACTCTCCCTGTGCCGATAGTGCAAGTTGTTGTGGATCGCCTCGTCGACCTTGCCGAAGATTTGGCTGATGTTCAAAGCTTGACGGTGGATCAATATGCTGATGCCAGCCTCAATTTGCTACAGAAGTCAGAGCTAGCAATAAATGCTTACATAGACGCAGCTTTTCACATGGACCGAAATGTTCCAGGCGCCCGATCTAGCTTAGCAAGCAGCCTGCTGATGCTCCTCGAGAAGATGTGTAAAGAGGCAGTCTTGGTCGGCCTTGGCAAAGGGTCCGCGGCAGAGCTCGCTTCAAGCATCAATCGCTATGAGACTTCTCAGCAGACCCTCAAGGCTGGGAATTCCGCGGAAGAATATGCAGCTGCTGTTGCCCAGATGGAAATCGTTGAATCTGCTTGAACCCAAGGTACAGGCGATTGCATTAAGTGGAGCAGCCAGCGACATCGCGTTGAGCGAGATCACATCCAAGGCAGACGCCGTGAAAGCAGCGTTGCTTCCCGCCATTGACTTCTACTCGGTGATGACTGTGAAGAAGATTAAGGCCCCAATTGACATCCTTGTGCCTCTACCGATGACCGGCAGATGGTCTCCAGGCCCAACCATGAAAACAGCGGCGATGATCGGACGGGACATCATAAATCAGCAACAATTGGTTTTGCCCGGCTTCGAGATAAAGCTCAAGTTCTTGGATGACCAGTGTGACTATGAGCACGCGATGCGTGCGGTGTTGGAAGAGTTTGCCAGCACAGACTCTTGGGTCGGGTTGGCTGGCATGGGTTGCTCGAGTGTCTGCGAATCGTTGGCAGTAGTCTCGTCTTCCATGTGGATCCCAACCGTGGGCATGGATTGCTCTGGCAAGTCCCTCTCTGATACCAGCCTCTTCCCGGACTTCGTTCGCCTTGGGGTCAAGACGACCTCGGCCAAGAATGTCATCATTGAGTGGGCAGAGATGTTCGCTTGGGAGCACATTGCAATTGTCTCCGGGGACCCCGCAATCTATCGAAACGAGGCCACAGAGTACCAGGAAGCCTTCGGCGACGCCGGCGTTGGCAACTCTTACGCTTCGTTGATTGAGACAGATTGGCAAGGTATGTTGTCGACTATGGCCGCATTGAAGGATGGCAAGCGCCGCGTCGTTATGGTGTTCGGCAATGAGACCCTCTTCCGGATGGTGGTGTGTGCATCAGCAGAGGTCGGATCGAGGGAGGGAATGGTCTGGATCTCTGTGGGGATACGATCGCGGTCTTGGTGGACTGTGAACGACGAGGCAGTCTTGCAACATTCAGCATCTTGCACCGGTAGCAAGGTAAGTTCCCTCTTGCAGGGCGCACTCTTCATCACAGGTCTTGGCAAGTCGGCAAGTCAGGCCGAGCAACCTTTGGACTGTTATGATGGGTATACTTCTGACAGTTTGCTTGACCTGATTAACAAGTCAATTGCGCAGGGCTACGAGGATGTCACGGGAAATTCTACGAATTCTACAGATGCTACAGGTGCCATTGAAAATCCCCACGTCGAGCTCATGGGAGCCGGTGCGGACGCGATCTGTGTACAAGCCAAGGCAATACAGCACATGCTCCTCGAACATGACATCTCAAAGTTACGCTCCCCGCAACATGCCGTGTACAAGAAGGCCGTGAGCTTCATCAGGGAGGAGCTTGAGATCGAGGGTGTCTCGGGGCCGGTGAAGTTCTCGGGCAATGACAAACCCGGTCGGCTTGGTTTGTGGCAACTCAGTGGTTCGGAGAGAATTCCAGTTGGCACCGTCTACGAAAACGGCACCATCGAGACAGGTTGGAGTGAAGGCCTGCGGAACGAAACCTGGCTTCCAGCATTTCCGGAGCCGGAACCGTTCCCAATCGTGTACGTTGTAGTATCTCTCGCAGCGGTATGGATGATTTGTTGTCCCCTTCTTTTCGGATGCCTTGCGGGTCACTATGGAAGCCTGTCCGCTCTGTTTGCGTGGATGCCAAAGGGCTCGCGAAGAAAAGAAGCAAAAGAAGCTCTGGGCGTGTGAGACAGAGAAGAGTCTTGGCATCCCGAAAGTGCAGAGACTGTGTTCATCATGATGGCGAATGGAGATGGAAATGGTATGAGAGGCTGTGGAGACCCTACAGTTCAAATTCGAGACGGGCTGTGAACAGCCTGTGGCGAGTCAATGGTGGCTCGTACAACGATGATGGGCCATGATTTGCTTGCAGCGATGCTTTCTAAAAACCCAGAGCTCAAAACCTACAATTCAAGGTGTTGGCGAAGCCAAAAGCTCAATACCTACATGTCGTCAAGTTGTTGGCGAAGCCTTTTGCGATGCACAAAGCTTTACGTGCATCAAGGCTGTGTGAACAAGATGTGAGTTTCACCCCCCCACCCCCCCCCACCCCACAAGCCATGACGCCGGTTCAGGTGCCGTGGGAACACTAATCACAACCAATAGAAACAGAAAAATGATCATAAGCGCGTGTATTCATTTAAAAAAACGCCAGAATGGGACACGCATAAATGGGAGCTCTTACGATACACAAGGCTTTTCGGTCCCCCCCCACAAGCAATGACGCCGGTTCAGGTGCCGTGGGAACACCAATCAAAGCCAATAGAAAACAGGAAAGTTATTGTAAGCGCGTGTATTCATTAAAAAAAACGCCAGAACGGGACACGCACAAATGGGAGCTCTTACGATGCACAAGGCTTTACGTGCATCAAGCTCCAGTCAGGAGCACATGTAAATACGTTTCCTGAATTTCTTGCACGTTTTTTCAGTCTCCGCTCTAACGTAGGGAGAGGCTTGAAGGTGAGTGCATGGCTCTGGCCATTTGCCTCAAGGCGGGGTGACGTGGTGACAATCCCGCTACCGCCCAAGTGTTTTGTACAGAGTCAGACGTTTAGAACCGAGCGTCGACTTGCAGGCGCCATTTGTAGTGCCAAGGAGGGCTTTCGAAAAGTTTGCTCCAGTTCGCGTTCATTTTGCTTATGGGTTCTTCCCGCTTTCTACATCGGAGGGAAGAGAGGGTGCTTCGGTCGTTTTTTACTACGACAAGTGAAGGGCGGCAAGTCCCCCATTTTCTGTGAGGACTATACTGCCTCTGCTAGCCGTCTTTGTTCCCAAGAAGATGCTCACAGCGCTCCTTTCTATAGCACCGCTGGCAAGGCATGTGGCGCAGGAAGGTAGCTTAATGTAGCTTATTTACCTTCTCTTCTTTCGCTTGAAGAGGGTGTGGACGTTTGGGCTGTGCTTTGGGCTGTGCTTTGTGCTGTGCTTTGTGTGATCATGTCGAGCATAAAGGCATTAGCTTTCTGAAGGAGAATGCGGTGGGGTTTCTTCGTAGCCTTGCTGAGATTTCTTTCGTGGCTGTTTCAAATGTAAAATAATTTAATCTTGTATCCCCTTCATGCAAGCATTCTTTTCGCAAATGGGGGAAGCTGCGAGCCTTTCCAAACAACAGCGTGCGAAGCATTGTGTTTGCAAATGGGGGGGGGGGGGCTGCCCTGGTCTTTTCAGCCGTGCAAACGTGCTTCCAAAATATCTGAGGATGCACGAAGAAGCCTGCCACCTTCTTCACCCAAAGGACCGGTTTAGCTTTACACCCTACGCCAACTTCCCCGAAACCCCCAAGATTCCCCTGAAAAAAAAACCCCGCAATTAGGTGAAGCCCAAAAAAACAGTTTAAGTTCTCCCCCCCCAAAACCCTAAAGGGCCGCAGAGCCCCGTAGTGATGAGCGCGCCCTTAAGGGACTTCAAGGAGGCCGAACATGCCGGGTGGGGGATCTTTGTCCTTGGAGAGGGACGTTTGGTGACCCTGTCACCCTTTTAGAAGTGGGAGGGTATGCAGCCTGAACTTCAGAATACGTACATGGAGCAAGAGACAAAGAAGGGACGGCGAGTTCGTGCAGGAAGAGTTCTGAGCTTTGTGACCACAGCTTGCACGTACTTCAAATTGAAACCAATCGTCCGTTTCATCTTTTCCGTGAACCGCAGCCCAGCCAAGGACAATCGTGGTAATAGTTCGAAAAAGGGGTACCTTGAACATCTCTCCGAGTTAACTTGCTGAATGGTACATGCAGTCTGTGCACGTGACAGCCTGTCTTTCAGCGACAAGAGATGGATATGGCTGGTGGGAAAGTGCAGCTCTGCCATGTTTTGTGATGGTTCCGCGATGTTCTCCAGAAGTTCTCGGATGTTCTCCGATGTTCTGCGATGTTCGACGATGTTCGGTGATGTTCGACGATGTTCGGCGATAGGTATCTCGGAGATGAAGCCAAGATGAGCTGTGCGGCTGTTCAACTCAGCATCTGCTGCTTTCTCTGATCTTGCTCTCTCGAGCTGCTCGCACGCGAAAGTTCCAGCCTGGCCATCTACCGACCCTAAACCCTAAAGCCTAAAGCCTAAAGCCTAAACCCTAAACCCTAAACCCTAAACCCCAAACCCTAAACCCAAAACCCAAAACCGCCTTGCGCATGAAGAGCCCGCCATGTTCAGCTTCACTTTCTTGGCCCGCAGCTGCGCGGCTGGGAAACAGCCCAGCAGTGAAGCAGCGCGAAGTGCCGCAGGCCAGGTCTGAAGGATTTAGGGTTTAGGGTTTAGGGCTTAGGGTTTAGGGTTTAGAGGTCCCGTTCTTGAAGGGCCTGGTTTTTGACCAGACCAGGTCATCCGTGATGTTCAAGGGCCCTGAAAGATTCTGAAGCCTTCAAATTATTCGGGGTGTAAGGTACCAAGAAGCGAAATGCCCCCGTGCCCGTGGTGCAGGGCCAGACCGAGAGTCGAAGCGATGGTGGCGCCCTTGGATTTGGGTTCTAGCTGGGGCTTTGGGGATGTGCCCTGGAGGCTTCGGGTTCAGGGGGTTTATGGCGCTCATGGGGCCTCGAAAGGGCACTGCAGACGGCTTGCGGTTTGCGCCGAGCTTGGGCAGTTGGAGGCTCAAGGTCTTGGAGTGTGGGGTGTCGAGGTGTGGGTTTCTCTATGTGCATGCCACAACCCATCAGTCGTCCAATTTGTTTTGCCAGAAAGTCAGTCTGCGTGGGGCAGCGACAGAGGCGCCAGCTGCCGACGGAAAGCCTGAAGAGCCAGCTGCAGAGCCGGCGGGAGCCCCGAAAAAGCACGCGCCGGGGTTCAGGCCTCGTAGACGCTCATTTGGGGTGTAGGACTTTGAGGACTCAGGCGAGTTTTCGCGACCTCCTTGAAAAATCTTTTGGAAGTTTCTGGTGGTTTCGAGTCGGCTCGGTTGTGGTGGCCATATCTGTGCGTACATACATTTGCATGCTGTACACAGTATGGAAGGGATCCTGCGTGATTCAGAAACTGGTCGCGATTCAGGAAACCACGGGGTTCAGGACGACACGCGAAGAAGGAAGCCGCGCGTTCAGGAAACCCCGTAGTTCAGGAAACAGTTTTTTTTGGAAACTCCGCGATTCAGGAAACTCCGCGGTTCGGGAAACCACGTGATTTGGGAAACCACGCGGTTCAGAAAACCGCGCGGTCGAGGAAACTGGGGGGGTGGGTGGGTGGGATTGGGGTCGGAGGGGGGGGTGATACGCTCCTTCCAGGTTCCCGAGTGAGCAGTGGGGTATCAACAACACAAAGGAACACGTTGGGATACCCGGACCCCTTCGCGGGTCATCTTGGGAGTCTTGTCTCTTCTTGTCTCTTCTTGTCTCTCGTCTTCTCTTGTTTCTTGTCTTTCTCGTCTCTTGTCTTCTTTTCTCTCTTGTCTTCTCTTGTCTCTTGTCTTCTTTTCTCTCTTGTCTTCTCTTGTCTCTTGTCTTCTTTTGTCTCTTGTCTTCTCTTGTCTCTTGTCTTCTCTTGTCTCTTGTCTTCTCTTGTGTTGTCTTGTCTTGTTTTGTTTTGAATGGGTTTTTTTTCGAGGGAGTACCGCATGCCAATGAGCATCCCTGCTGCGGCATTCAAGCTTGCACAAGTTTGCGGTGCAGTTGGAGAGACCTCTAAATGGATTCCGCAGGACAGACGTATGAAGGTGTTGTGGAAAGTTGTCTGGGTGAACGTGCTGACAAGAGGGACAATTGGGCCGCCCTGAGCATGAATGCAATTCGGAGGAGATGCTGATTTAGGTCTTTGTCTTGGCTTAGCGCTTCGATTCTTGTTTGGTCGTTCTTGCGAGGTGTGTCGCCCGAATCCGAATCGCAGTTGAACTTAAACTTGAATGAACCCACTCCACCACTACTTTGTCGTAGCCTTTTTCAGTTCATTTCTGTGCCGCTCGTGCCTTCCCTGGTGCCTTTTTCAGCTACTAATGTTAGCGTTGGCGGGCAGCAGGAGTCTTGTGGCCATCGCTGCATTGCTTCAAGTTCTTGGGGCGAGTGCAGTCACGGTCACGGATGTGCAGTGGAAGGCAGGAGTGATTGCTGCAGGGCGTCAAAGTTGGCTGATTGCGAAGGTGCAATTTGAGTTCTTGATGATTGCCAAGGGTGTGAATGTGTCGAAAAGCATGGCAAACATGGAGGAAAGTATCAGTCTCTTTGACTTTGGGCACATCGTGCTCAGGGATGGAAATGGGCTCGACATTGTCGAAGCACCCTCTCAGATCATCGTCAATGCTCTGGGCAATGTGCAGGCTAAGTGGCCACCGTTTAAGAATTTTCTCAAGGACAATGTCGCAAGCACTTCGCCTACAGTTTTGAGCACTCTCGACGACATGGGCAGCGAGTTGTACGGGTTGACACAGATTTGCGCGTCCCGGTACGTCGATGCAATCAGTGAAGCGGGGGCGAATTTTTCGGGCCTACAAGTCAATACTGCGAACAGGCAAAGTATGCTCGTGGAAAAGATGGCAGCGGAAGCATTTCTACTACACCTTGGCGTCCGTCCGGACACCATGTTGAACCGGATTGTGGAGACGAGGACGTTGTTTGTTGATGCTCATGCGGGTCTCTTGGAAGGCCTTAACTTTGTCGGCTTGGAAGCCACCGTCAACAAATGCATCTCGCAAAAGATGCGCCTTGTCTCCTCTTTCTGGGCCGAGTTCAAGGAGGCCATTGACACTGTCATCTTCGAAGAGTTGGCGAGCGACAAGAGTCTGAATGACATCGTCGCCAAAATTGCAGGCCTAAGAGCCGAAGCAGCAGCTGCGACTCTGGCCTATGCCGATCCACCGCTCAGTTGCCCCACCACTATGACACGTCGTCAGTGGCAGATGGCGTTTGATGTCTCCACCCGACAGCTCATGCATGCACAGAAAGCATGCAGGCTTTTCCTTCAGGCTGCCAAGGGAGTGAACACCCTCGACAGCCGCATCTTCTTCTCGAACTCAGATGTGAGCGCGACGGCAGACCTCAAAATGATGAGAGAGGGCTCCGTGGCAGCAGACATGGCTGCAGCTCCCACACAGCTGGTGTCCGAACAGTATGGCGTAATGTGGCTCAGGTGGCTGAGTCTCAGAAACTTCATGGCACAAAACATTAACTTTGTGAGTGATGAAGACCACAGGCTCTTGCAAATCGTCGAGAATAAGGGCAAGCAGTTTGTCAACTACGGCTTGGAAGCGTTGGAGAACATTTTCACTGAGTGCAAACTGAAGGCCCCTGAGGTGAATTGCGAAGAGCTAAAAGTCACAGGGGTTCAGCGCATTCTCATTCAGAAAGCAGCATTTGAGGCAGTTCTGATTGGCCTTGCACGGAATGTCGCGGAAAACAAGAAGGAGATGATCCAGACAATTGCAAGGTTCGAAGGGTCTCAAAGTGGCTTGATTCATCAACAGCCGGGCCTACCCAGGACACTTGACATCTGCATCTTGCAGGAGATGAAACACGTTGACGACTTGTGGACGCCGTTCAAGAGCCTCTTACTGCAGGTTCATGATGGTGACCACAGCGTCGCCACCTTGTTGAGGATTTGGGGAATGACGTGGGACGCAGGAGTCGACCCCATGTCTGCTCAGCTTACGGTGACCATGCGGGCATATGCGGACGGTCGAGGTGTGTGCACCCCGCCTCTGACGGCCTCCCGCCAGGAGTTGGAGTCTGCAATCAAGGAACTGGGCTTTCTCCGTGCGGGGACACAGAAATGGGCCAAGCACGTCCTCTTGTCTGACATCGGCATCGACAGGGCAGAGAACATGAACATCTCGCATGCAACGTTGAAGGATCTTTCGACGCAGCTTGAACGGGTCATATCAGGAGACACCTCTGCAACTCTCCCTGTGCCGATAGTGCAAGTTGTTGTGGATCGCCTCGTCGACCTTGCCGAAGATTTGGCTGATGTTCAAAGCTTGACGGTGGATCAATATGCTGATGCCAGCCTCAATTTGCTACAGAAGTCAGAGCTAGCAATAACTGCTTACATAGACGCAGCTTTTGACATGGACCGAAATGTTCCAGGCGCCCGATCTAGCTTAGCAAGCAGCCTGCTGATGCTCCTCGAGAAGATGTGTAAAGAGGCAGTCTTGGTCGGCCTTGGCAAAGAAGGGTCCGCGGCAGAGCTCGCTTCAAGCATCAATCGCTATGAGACTTCTCAGCAGACCCTCAAGGCTGGGAATTCCGTGGAAGAATATGCAGCTGCTGTTGCCCAGATGAAAATCGTTGAATCTGCTTGGGTTGAGTTACAACCCAAGGTACAGGCGATTGCATTAAGTGGAGCAGCCAGCGACATCGAGTTGAGCGAGATCACATCCAAGGCAGACGCCGTGAAAGCAGCGTTGCTTCCCGCCATTGACTTCTACTCGGTGATGACTGTGAAGAAGATTAAGGCCCCCATTGACATCCTTGTGCCTCTACCGATGACCGGCAGATGGTCCCCAGGCCCAACCATGAAAACAGCGGCGATGATCGGACGGGACATCATAAATCAGCAACAACTGGTTTTGCCCGGCTCGGAGAGAATTCCAGTTGGCACCGTCTACGAAAGCGGCACCATCGAGACAGGTTGGAGTGAAGGCTTGCGGAACGAAACCTGGCTTCCAGCATTTCCGGAGCCGGAACCATTCCCACTCGTGTACGTTGTAGTATCTCTCGCAGCGGTATGCCTTCTTTTCGGATGCCTTGCGTGTCACTATGGAAGCCTGTCCGCTCAATTTGCGTGGATGCCAAAGGGCTCGCGAAACAAAGAAGCAAAAGAAGCTGTGGGCGTGTGACACAGAGAAGAGTCTCGGCATCCCGAAAGTGCGCGAGTGAATGGAGTTTGCTTGCAGCGAAGGGAAGTAGACTCTCCCACCGGAGGTGGATAGTACTTTTTCAAAACCAAAAGCTGAAAATATACATCTCAAGTTGTTGGCGAAGCCTTTTGCGATGCACAAAGCTTTACGTGCATCAAGGCTGTGTGAACAAGATGTCAGTTTCACAATGGGAGCTCTTACGATGCACAAGGCTTTGCGTGCATCAAGCTCCAGTGAGGGGCACATGTAAATTCTTTTCCTAAACTTTTACAGTGCATTTTTTTTCAGTCTCCTCTAACGTAGGGAGAAGTTTGAAAGTGAGTGCATGGCGGAGCCATGTGCTAAAGGCGGGGGTGACGTGGTGACAAGCTTTTCCGCCACCGCCTAGTGTTTTGCACAAAGTCGGACGTGATTGACTTTAGTGTGCATTTCTTAAGAACCGATCTTCGACTTGCAGGCGCCTTTTGAAATGCCTTGTGCCTTTCATTAACTTGCCGAATGGTACGTACAGTCTGTGCACGTGACGGCCAGCGACAAGAGATATGGCTGGTGGGAAAGCGCAGCTCTGCCATGTTTTGTGATGGTTCCGCGATGTTCTCCAGAAGTTCTCGGATGTTCTCCGATGTTCTGCGATGTTCGACGATGTTCGGTGATGTTCGACGATGTTCGGCGATAGGTATCTCGGAGATGAAGCCAAGATGAGCTGTGCGGCTGTTCAACTCAGCATCTGCTGCTTTCTCTGATCTTGCTCTCTCGAGCTGCTCGCACGCGAAAGTTCCAGCCTGGCCATCTACTGACCCTAAACCCTAAAGCCTAAAGCCTAAAGCCTAAAGCCTAAAGCCTAAAGCCTAAAGCCTAAACCCTAAACCCTAAACCCCAAACCCTAAACCCTAAACCCTAAACCGCCTTGCGCATGAAGAGCCCGCCATGTTCAGCTTCACTTTCTTGGCCCGCAGCTGCGCGGCTGGGAAACAGCCCAGCAGTGAAGCAGCGCGAAGTGCCGCAGGCCAGGTCTGAAGGATTTAGGGTTTAGGGTTTAGAGGTCCCGTTCTTGAAGGGCCTGGTTTTTGACCAGACCAGGTCATCCGTGATGTTCAAGGGCCCTGAAAGATTCTGAAGCCTTCAAATTATTCGGGGTGTAAGGTACCAAGAAGCGAAATGCTCCCGTGCCCGTGGTGCAGGGCCAGACCGTTGAGAGAGTCGAAGCGATGGTGGCGCCCTTGGTGAGATTTGGGTTCTAGCTGGGGCTTGGGGATGTGCCTCGAAAGGGCACCGCAGACGGCTTGCGGTTTGCGCCGAGCTTGGGCAGTTGGAGGCTCAAGGTCTTGGGCGTCGGCGTAGGGTTTTGCTTCTCGAGGAATGTGTGGGTTTCTCCATGTGCATGCCACAACCCATCAGTCGTCCAATTTGTTTTGCCAGAAAGTCAGTCTGCGTGGGGCAGCGACAGAGGCGCCAGCTGCCGACAGAAAGCCTGAAGAGCCAGCTGCAGAGCCGGCGGGAGCCCCGAAAAAGCACGCGCCGGGGTTCAGGCCTCGTAGACGCTCATTTGGGGTGTAGGACTTCGTATTAGGACTCAGGCGAGTTTTCGCGACCTCCTGGATTGAAAAATCTTTTGGAAGTTTCTGGTGGTTTCGAGTCGGCTCGGTTGTGGTGGCCATATCTGTGCGTATATACATTTGCATGCTGTACACAGTATGGAAGGGATCCTGCGTGATTCAGAAACTGGTCGCGATTCAGGAAACCGTGGTTCAGGACAACACGCGAAGAAGGAAGCCGCGCGTTCAGGAAACCCCGTAGTTCAGGAAACATTTTTTTTTGGAAACTCCGCGATTCGGGAAACTCCGCGGTTCGGGAAACCACGTGTTTTGGGAAACCACGCGGTTCAGAAAACCGCACGATCGAGGAAACTGGGGGGGGTGGGGGGGTGGGATTGGGGTCGGAGGGGGGGTGATCCGCTCCTTCCAGGTTCCGGAATGACCAGTTTTTAGTTTCCAGAATGCGCGGTTTCCAGTTTCCCGAATCCCCGTTTTCCGAATCCGCGTTTTCCAGCTAGCGGGCTTCCCGAATCCTGGTTTGCCGCGCTTTCGGTTTCTGAATCCGCATCTTCCAGTTTCCCGAATCAGGTTTTGCAGTTTCCGAGTCTGCACGTTTTCAGTTTCCGAATCCGCCGCAGACCATACTGAAGCATACGTGGTTGGAGTTTAGAGCAGTATGTGCCGAAGACTCCAAAATCCGATTCCCAGTGGAGCCGCGATATCCGGCTGCTGATGCGCCATCTGCCGAGGCACAGCATGAGGAAGCGGAAGTACTGGTATCGGGGGATGAGATGGAGCGGAGCTGGCTGTCCTGGCGGGCGGCCGAGGGGAGGGGGGTTTGGGACAACGGGAGCGTTTAGAAGGCTTTTGCATCGTTTTGCCTTTTAAGTATTTGGGTTTGAAGGCCTTTGAAGTGGCGGGAGTGGTACTCTTGATCTGGTTTGAGGAGTTTGCTAAACCTCCAAATCCTTCTCCCTTCGCTAGGCCTAAGGTTTAGGGGGTGTAGGTGCTAGGAATGAGGGTATCTCAAAACTTGCAATGCTTCACCCTAAGCCTTCTTGTTTTTGGCAACAGCTTTTCCCGAGGCTTTTCGCCTTCGTGGAGGCACCCGGGCTTTAAGGGTTCGGATACTAGGTGTTCAGCGGGGTGCTTAGGGTTCTGACAGGATCCCCCTCCTACCTCGCCCTCTCCCCCCAGGTTCAACTTAAGTAGCTATCAGAGGTGTATGGAGGAGGGCTGGGCGGGTGCAGTAGGGGGTTCCGGGATTCGCTTGAGGCTTTGTTCTTGGCACCTCCGCCCGGAATCCCCAAGGACAGACTATAGACTGTCAGAGCCTCTCCCGTATATCATGGCTTTACGAGACGGGACCGCAATGGCGCTGGTCTCCGAAAAGCTGAGCGCTGAGCCGAAGAAAGCTCAACTCGCCTTTGAGGCTCTGTAAGCGTAGAGTTTCAGATGTTGGTTGGCTTGTCTATGTGCATCGTGCAAAACAGGAGGCCCGCCCACACCCCAAACAACCCCTGCACCCGAAATGCTGAACCCTAAGCCCCTTAGCCTGACATTGAAGAGCCAGTGGCAGAGGCTCCGAAAGCAGAGGAGACAGCTTCTGAGACGCCAGCTGCGCAGCTGACAAAGCATGATGAGCCCGCTGCTGAGGCGCGGGCTGCTGAGACAAAGCAAGAGCCCGCTGGAGAGCCAGCAACAGAGACAAAGCAAGAAGAGGCTGCTGCGGAGGCCCCGCAAGCAGAGCCAGCTGCTGCGGCGCCGGCTGCCAATGCAGTTCATGAGAAGATCGCTGCGGAGGCTCCGAAAGCAGAGGTGTTTGCAGACTTTCAGATGCTCTTATATGGATTCCAAGAGGCCTTTGCAGATAACGTTGGCTTACTATATGTGCAGTCCTGACCTATAAAAATGTGCCATTCTAGCACAAGACCCCATGTGTAGAAAAGCCAGAGCCCCCACGGCGCGCCAGCTGCAGAGGCAACCCCAATCCCAGAGTGCCTGGATCTCAGATGCCGTGAGCGTAGCAAAGCTTCTTTAGCGTGCCGAATGACGACGTCTTTTGTGGCCGAGGCCTTGGCACACAGGTGCTGATCGAAGGCCATGCAAAGCTGTCGTGGACCAAAGGTGTGGCACTGCCTTGCGCTGATGTGCTATGCAAGGTCTCGATCGGCACCCCGTGTTCAATGGCCTTGCGGCACCTTCCTGGGAGTCCTGCCCACCGGACGCCAGCTCCTCAGCACAAACGCCCACCCACCCCCGTATGTAAATGTTGGGAATGGCTGTCTTTTACTGAGCGTGACTGTGATATCAATGGCGAGCCACACTATCCAGAAAAGTCATCAGTGGCATGTACATATGAACGCTCGCAAGCGTTCGCACTGATTCTTTCTTCCGCGTTGGCGCACGGGCTATTTTCTTACATGTTGGGTCGTTCGACTACTGTCGCGGGCAGGGAGGGTCATCGCCGGTGTCCTCGAGCCTTACTTAGGCACCATCTCAGGAACTGTCGTCCGTGATCAGCGACAGGATCTTCTAGGTTGCTATTTTAAGTCGGCATCTTGCCCCAAAAGAACGGACGGCATGGAGGCTTCATCGGGCTAAACCAGCGTCCGTTTTCAATCAATCAGGGTTTCAAGGCCCTGTTCTTTTATGATCTTTAAGGCTAGTACGGAGAACTTGAGGCGTTTTGAAGCCTCGTGGAGTCCACAAATTTCCGTTTTGAACCCAACCAGGCTTGAGGCAGCCAATCTCACTCTCTCTCTCTCTCTCTCTCTCTCTCTCTCTCTCGCTCGATTTCTCTTGCGGGGTGGGGGGCACCGAGCTGCACCCAGGCAGGCGGCGTTGGACACGCACACGCACACGTGTTGAGGGAGGGCGGCAGAGGCTGAGAGGGAGAGAGGGAGAGGGACGGGGTCAGAGAGCTGCAACGCAAAGAGGCTGCCGCATCTACCTCCCGGCGGTGAAGAGCCCGGCCCTCGTGAAGCCGCAGAACCTGCGAGTGCCGCTTGGCACAGCTACCAATTCCTCCTTGCCCCCAGACATCTCAGAGACCTTGAACCCAAAACCCTTAACCGCCTTAACCCCAATCATGCGCAGGGTGGAGGAGTCTTCAGCTTCGGCCGAGGCTCGATGAAAGTTCTTGGCTTGGAGTTGAGGGTGGCCAGGGGAGGTTTAGAGAAGTCTCGAGATGCCCTTGTGTACTGACTCGGACTCAGTGGCCTGTGGCATGTTGCGGCTTGTTGGTTTTTTGCAGATGGACATCGCTGGGAACACCTTGTCGAGTAGAGTCTTCGTGTTTTTTCGTGTTTTTTTGCTTTCCTTATCAACATGAGAGGTTAAGACTGCTGCTGGCTAGCGTATGCAATGTCACCAGGGTCAAGTTGAAGCGGACTGCGGCACACCTCGGGCCGTGACGTCAACCTTGCTTTTCCATCCCATCTGTGGTTTTTGTTTCCAGTGGCTAGCTTTATTTCTCGTTTATCCGCTGTCGCCACACATTTTCCAAGAATCTTGACATACTTTTTCAAAAGTATGCTGGCTGATTTGCATGTTCAAGATGCGCAAAGGTGTATAAGGGAGTAGCTCATTGACTGTAAGAACAACGAGAAAATCTCTATGGGGCCATAGTTCTATGTACTTGGCAGTGGTGCACTGCGTAGTTCCGGTCCTGCAACGAGTGGGTGCGGTAGCAGCGCGTGTGGAACTGGACGCTCCCTCGGTGCCCGACTTGGCTTTCTGGATCCACCGAGCCAACGACGGCCCCGAGCTGCTCTATCGACAATTGCCACCATCGTCATGTGGGTTTGGCGCAGCACTGATTATGCACGATGATCACGGAGAAGCTTGACAATGCTTGACAGTGTTCTTCAATGTCGTTAGCCTTTTGTCTTAGTCTATGCGGCAGCGGAGAGCTGCGTAGCTCAATTGATGGCATCCTAGTAAGGCCTTACCCAGTATGCAACCCCACATCGTGCGGCATCCGCCTGGATCCTGGATCCTTCTGGATCCAGGTCCCAAATTCGTCGCCTCTCGCCAACTTATAGTCCCAGTGCAAGAGGCCATGCGCAGGCAGGCCCGAAGACCCCCCAAGACTTTACGAGGCAAAGGCGCCCCACGTCACCTGCACCCATGTCCGTGTGCTAGGGCATTCACAGAGGTCCCGGCTATGCAGCAAACCTTGGGGAAGGAACCTGGTGCCTCTGCCGGCGGAATCAACAGAAGGCGCAGACATAACCTAATTGTTAACTGCCTGAAAGCCCCTTCCCCCCCCCCCCCCCCCCCAGAGAAAAGCTCACAGTCCACATGGAAGGCACTGGGATGGCTTCCCTGCGGCGTTCGTTGGCCGCACGCCGCCAAAGCCCGGCTTGTGGCCGAGGCGCTGCTTGGTCAGATGCAGAGGCGGGTGCCTCGAATCCACTGCTGAATGCTCGGGCTCCTGTCGGTCTTTCGGAAGGGGATTTTAGGTCCTCAGATGTCCTTAAGGGTTTAGGGCGTTTCCGAAAGCTTTGTAGAGGGGCTGAGATTACCTAAGCCTATGTGCTACGTGGCCAGCAGCTAGCCCAGGCTGCGGGCCCAGCCGCTGGCGCAGCGGCGGCAAAAACACATGGCCCGGTGCCCATGAAGCGAGCTTTCAGTGCTCCTGCAGAGCCCTAACTCCCCGAAGCCCTCCGCGGCGCCATCGCCCTCAATCCGACTTGGCGGTTTATAAAGTCGGCTACATGTTTGAAACTCGTGTTTCGGATTCAGCTCGGAGAAATCGTAGGTTCTGACTGGGGCTCACTGAGCCGAGATGACGGAAGCCCCAAAGCCCCAAAGCCCCTGCAAATCGTGAGGCAGCATGCCGCTCCTGGCATCCCGACAAGAGCCTTCGGCACCAGGACCCAGGGCCCGAGGGGACCAGGGTCCGGGTTGTAGGGTTTCGGGGTGTGCAGTACACGGGTTTCGAGTTGGGCTCACGGGTTTGGATTGGGTTTTCAAGTACTCGAGCCCCAGGAGTCCCCAAGCCTTCCACTTGAGTTTGGCCACAGGAGATTGCCACACAGGTCTTCCAGTTCCTACAGGCCATCAAGGACTGGTTGCTGGAAGTGCGGGGGGGGGGGGGGTGTTGTCTGTATAGTCACTGGCCAGTGTCTTGCGCGTTGCCTTCCAACTCTCTCAAGGCACCGAGGGCGGTTGGCAGCTTGCAGGGCATCTTCGGGTTTTTAGGGTTTAGGGTTTAGGATTTAGGGTTTAGGGTTTCGATCCCTGGAGTTGGGGCGCAGGGTTGAGAGGGCACTGAGGAGGGTTCTCACGCCACGAGCCCGAACAAACGAGCCTTGGCCGACAGGGGTGAGGGTTTATCGCATGTGGAGACGGAACTGTGCTCAACTCAACAACCCCAAGGCCCTACACCCAAAACCTAATCAACCAAGACCTGCAAACTTGCAAAGTTCCCCCCATCCTAACCCTATCAGCTGAGGGCCGATTGTCGCTGCAGCTCCACCGCAGACCTGCCTCAGAAAAGCAGCGTGGCAGCGCGGCCGCGCGTGCACGTGTGCGGTGTGCGGGCGTTCCTGATGCGTGGGTTTGTGTGAGTGTGAGAGTGTGAGAGTGTGAGAGTGTTAGAGTGTGGGAGTGAGTGTCATGTCTCTTGTCTCGTCTCTTTTCTTGTCTTTGTCTCTTGTCTTTTGTCTCTTGTCTCTTGTCTTGTCTCTTGTTTCTTCTCTTGTCTCTTCTCTGGTCCTGTGTCTTGTCTTTTGCCTGTGTCTAGTGTCTTGTGTCTTGCGTCTTGTGTCTTGTTTCTTGTGTCTTGTGTCTTGTGTCCTGTGTCTTGAGTCTTGTGTCTTGTGTCTTGTGTCTTGTCTTTTGTCTCGTCTCTTGTCTTGTCTTTTGTCTTGTCTCTTGTCTTGTGTCTTGTCTTTGTCTTGTCTTGCGTCTTGTCTTGTCTTGCGTCTTGTCTTGGCTTGTGTCTTGTCTTGTCTTGCGGTTGCGCTACGGCGGCACCAGGATTGCGCCAGCAGATGCCAAGAAAGAACACACAGCAGCCAAACAAACGCAAATCAACATTAAAACCTGGCCCCAAACCTGTCCCCAAAAATCTGGAATCCTCCCCCCCCCCCCCCCCCCCCCCCCCCCCCCCCCCCCCCCCCCCCCCCCCCCCCCCCCCCCCCACACACCCCCCCCCCCCCCGCCCCCCAAAGGGGCGGGGGGGGCGCAAACGAACCCCCCCCTCGGCGGAGGGGATGTCGGGGAGGAACAAATCCTCACACGCCTTCGGATCCCCAAGCGGGTCGGCGGACTTACAATACTTACAGTGTTGTTGCAGGGGTATCAACAACACAAAGGAACACGTTGGGATACCCGGAGCACCGCTTCGCGGGTCATCTTTGGTCGTCTTGGGAGTCCGAGTGGTGACCACCTTTGCACTCTTTTGCCGTCCTCAAAGCAAAGCAAACGTGACGCAGCAACATGGGGAATCAATGAATCAATATGAATCAATGGGGCTTTTTTCGAGGGAGTACCGCCAATGAGCATCCTGCTGCAGCATTCAAGCTTGCGCAAGTTTGCGGTGCGGTTGGAGAGACCTCTTAATGGATTCCGGAGGACAGACGTATGAAGGTGTTGTGGAAAGTTGTCTGGGTGAACGTGCTGACAAGTGGGACAACTGGGCCGCTCTGAGCATGAATGCAATTCGGAGGAGATGCTGATTTAGGTCTTTGTCTTGGCGTAGTGTTTCGATTGTTGTTTGATTGTGCTTGCGAGGTGTGTCGCCCGAATCCGAATCGCAGTTGAACTTAAATTTGAACTCCTGCTACGACTCCACCACTGCTTTGCCGTAGCCTTTTTAAGTTCAATTTTGTGCCCCAAGCCTCTGACCTCGTGCCTTCCCTGGTGCCTTTTTCAGCTACTAATGTTAGCGTTGGCGGGCAGCAGGAGTCTTGTGGCCATCGCTGCATTGCTTCAAGTCGTTGAGGCGAGTGCAGTCACGGTCACGGATGTGCAGTGGAAGGCAGGACTGATTGCTGCAGGGCGTCAAAGTTGGCTGATTGCGAAGGTGCAATTTGAGTTCTTGATGATTGCCAAGGGTGTGACTGTGTCGAAAAGCATGGCAAACATGGAGGAAAGTATCAGTCTCTTTGACTCTGGGCACACCGTGCTCAGGGATGGAAATGGGCTCGACATTGTCGAAGCACCCTCTCAGATCATCGTCAATGCTCTGGGCAATGTGCAGGCTAAGTGGTCACCGTTCAAGAATTTTCTCAAGGACAATGTCGCAAGCACTTCGCCTGCAATTTTGAGCACACTCGACGACATGGGCAGCGAGTTGTACGGGTTGACACAGATTTGCGCGTCCCGGTACGTCGATGCAATCAGTGGAGCGGGGGCGAATTTTTCGGGCCTACAAGTCAATACTGCGAACAGGCAAAGTATGCTCGTGGAAAAGATGGCAGCGGAAGCATTTCTACTACACTTTGGCGTCCGTCCGGACACCATGTTGAACCGGATTGTGGAGACGAGGACGTTGTTTGTTGATGCTCATGCTGGTCTCTTGGAAGGCCTTAACTTTGTCGGCTTGGAAGCCACCGTCAACAAATGCATCTCGAAAAAGATGCGCCTTGTCACCTCTTTCTGGGACGAGTTCAAGGAGGCCATTGACACTGTCATCTTCGAAGAGTTGGCGAGCGACAAGAGTCTGAATGACATCGTTGCCAAAATTGCAGGCCTAAGAGCCGAAGCAGCAGCTGCGACTCTGGCCTATGCCGATCCACCGCCCAGTTGCCCCACCACTATGACACGTCGTCAGTGGCAGATGGCGTTTGATGTCTCCACCCGACAGCTCATGCATGCACAGAAAGCATGCAGGCTTTTCCTTCAGGCTGCCAAGGGAGTGAACACCCTCGACAGCCGCATCCTCTTCTCGAACTCAGACGTGAGCGCGACGGCAGACCTCAAAATGATGAGAGAGGGCTCCGTGGCAGCAGAC